GTCTTATTTCCCTTGGAACTGCCAATTCTAAGACAGTCGGGTCCTTGACTTCCTACCGTGGTCCTTCTGTTGTCCCTGACATCCAACCCAGCACCTGCCATAAAAGCATGCCTTGACTAATGAGTACAGTAAGTAGGTGTACAGAGGGAGGGCAGCATTTTTAGAAGGAAACTAAGAGAATTTAGTTACTACAAGTGGCTGATGTTCAAAATGAACCATCTACAAGATAGTAAAAGGATTTCCTTTTGCAGCACATCGACCTTTTGCTTTGCTTTGTTTGAATCTAAGGTTCTTTCTTAACCACGTTACAAAAATAAACCATTTTTATAAGCAATCCTGTTTCCCTTCTTTTAAAGAAGAAGAAAAAAAGCAACAACCAGAAAAGAAATGATTTTCCCTTGCTTTGTGCCCCTGGGAAATACTTTCAACTGTTTTCTTGTGTTGTTTTGCGTTGAAAGCCGTGCGAGGTGGCATTCTTCGTCACTGTTTTGCTTTGGAAATACACAGAAAGAGCATTTTCTGCAAGTGGCAAATTAAAAAAGTTCTCAGTGGATATGCCAAAAGACCAAGCTCATTGCCATTAATGAACTACCAGCAAAAGGAGGGCAAATTTGTAAGACTATGGGGGGGGGGGTGAATGGGAGAAAGCACCTGACTGTTCCTCAAATATTAAGACTTACCTGCATATGAGAATTAAGCTGATGCTAAATATTTTAAGGAAATTAGTAATTTTAGAAATTACTGTAATGTAGCTTAGCGTCCAATCATTTAATTATATCTATGTTCAAAGTAATTGTACATAAAGCTGTGCCTTCAGACCAGTTGGTAATATTCGTAGGTGAGCTTTTGTCTTAGACCCCCTATTGAGGGATTTAGTTATCAAAGACTACTTTAGAATGCATTTTCTCTCTCTAGGTGTAATCCTCTTAGAATCAGAAAGCTACATTCAAATGGGAAGGGGGCCTAAGGTATCTTTTATGAATCTCTTCATTTTCCATGTTAAGAGATGAATGGTGAGAGGTCAAACGATTTGCTTAATGGTTGCAAGGCCCAAGTCATGGCAAAGTAATTTCGAAATGGCTTGTCCATTCCTCTTCTGCACGCGAGTGGGTCTAATTGACTGTGATGGTGGGGGTCAGGCAATTTATCTCCTGGTCGCACTGGGGAGCCTTGTACAATAAAAACATGGGCTTGGGAACCAGACAGAGTCAGGGAAATGTGACAGTGCAACCTCCCCACAGACTCTCAGAGAGCTGACTTCACCTTTCTGATTCACGCTGCCTCCACAAGGGGAACCGCCGGGGGTTAAATGAGATCCTTGGATGAAAGCAGAATCTGGCACGGTACCCCCAAACACTCTCCTCCCAAACTAATACCTGTCCAGCCGTTAGTGGTTTTGTGCTTTACCGCCCCTCTATTTCCCCCAACGTAGCATAAGAGTGTAGGTGGAACGTGTTTGACTCTCAGTGCTGGGTCTTATTCTCAATGCTGTCTTCTCAGTGACCCAGCAGGTACAAGAACGCTAAAGAATGTTCAGGATATTCAGAGTCAATTCCACCTTCTTAGGAATGAATTTCTTTGTCCAGTTATTCCCTCAGTGCCTGCTCCGTGCCACATGTTGGGGATAAACTAGCATAAGCCCATGAAGACTGAAATATCAAATAATGCCACCGTGCTAGTGACTAACAAGCACCCAGTTTTCAGTTGCTGAAGAGGATTCGGGCCTCATCTGTGCCAACGTTTCAGTGTTTCTGGTGGAGAAAGCGCTCCTCTCTAGCTGAAGCCCCTCGTTTGACCCCTGGGCTTGACCCCGTGGGCTTGCTTCCACATGAGCTTTTTCGTAAACTCCACAGACATTAAAGAAACTATGACTTTAGATGTTTCTAGGAAAGCGTATGCCAAGTTCACAATGAAAAAGCATAGCAGTGGACAACACCCACATGTTTTGTTACGAAATAGTCCTTGTTGTTTTCAGAGGGGGGGCGGGGGGAGGGCACGCTTGTAATCATTTTGAATTCCGAGCCTACACCCATGTTCATCCCTTCATGACGAATTCTCCGCAGAGATTGGTCCACCTGCCTGTGACTCAGTTTGTTTTCTCCTTGGCATCTCTGGGTGGTACACACCTTTAGAATGTTCAGCTGCTACCACCGAGAGTGTGGCGGTACCGGCCCACCCAGAACAGCCACTGAAGATAGGCTTGGTGACCTAGCCTGACAAACCAGCCATTCACGGAGCCTAGTGCCGCTCTCACTCCTGAGGTCGCCATGGACATGGACCAACGTCATTCACAGTCTTACTGCCACAGGTAGAACAGGCTTCCCGAAGGGTGAAGCCGAAGGGTCGGATACAAGCATCCCCCCTGAGTGAATATGGAGGGAAAAATGTCTGCACTGGAAACAACAAAGGAGTGGCAAAGCAAACATTGATATTTCTTTTGACATTGTTGTTAGGTGCCATCCAGTTGGCCCTAACCCATAGCAACCCTTTGCACAACGGATAAAACACTGCCCCATCCTGCCCCATCCTCACAGGTGTCCCTTTGTCTAAGCCCGTGGATGCAGCCACAGTGTCCATCCATCTCCTCGAGGGCTGTCCTGTTTTTCTCTGCCCCTCCACTTTCCCAACCATGAGATGTCCACCTCCAGACAGAATATGTCCAAAGTGTGTAAGTCGAAGTGTCCCCATCCTTGACTCTGCGGAGCACTCTGGCCTTACTTCTTCTAATCCAGTTGGGTTTGCACTTTTAGCAGTCCGTGGTAATTTCACTTTTCCTATCCAGCACCACCATTCCAACACACTGCTTTGCATTGCAGGAAGGTGGTGTCTGTTGGGGTCTTCCAGTTGGTTTTGTTTCCTGCAAGGCCTGAGCTAGCTGGGCCTGGGCCTGGGCTGCTCTGCAGGACCGCCCAGCCTCTGCCTCGCCTCCCACTGTGCTGCCTCACACCAGCCTGCCACTTTCCTTCAGCTCATTGTCTTTCAACAACAAAATTCATCAAAAGATTTAAAACTGTGTACCCCAATCAATTTTTTTAAAGGAAATTAAAAGGCATTGTGTCTTCTGTTAAATATTTATGTAGTAGACTATTGATGTCTTCATTTAAATCTGTCTTTTGAGATGCAAATTAAGCACTGGTAGGGAAGTAAGGAGGTGTAGGATTTTTTCCCAGGAAAACCTTCAAATACATGTTCTTTCCACACAGGCATTTTATTGTTTTTTTTCTTCCTAGAAGAGCCTGTGCATATTATTTTTTCTTAATGGTATTTTCATTTTTAGCTTTATAAAATTCAACATAGTCTCCTGGGATATTAGGGATTTCTTATAAAGGAGCTTTATAATGGTTGGATCGTCTAGAAAATTGCAGCAGTGTATAGTTTGACAAAACACATCGGTTAAGCAAACTTGAGGATATATTGCTAATAAAACGCGTTATTGTACAGCAACCAGGAACTAGTCTCATGTACGCCCTCATTTGAAAATTCCCACATACTTCTTCTTAAATGACCAGGGAATTCGTTTTGTTGTCTGTTGGTGCTTTGGGTCACCTCCCCCACGTACCTGGGATTTAGGCATACCCTTCCTTCAGAAATGTTCTTTTCTTTCTTTACATCCAAGACCTTGAGTATTTAATTTACTTTTCAGCAAAGCTGTCAGTTGTAATCTGCAATTTGAAAAAAAAAAAACAACCTAATAAAACAAATCCTCATTTCACAATTTAAACCTTATTGAGTCTAATTCACCAGCGCTACCAGTTTATTATTCTCCTGCAGTTTGACGTGCCTCCAATTGTAATTGTGTTGACCCTTCAATGCATTAAATCTCCCCAGTGCTTATCAAACTGGGAGAGATAAGTCTACAATTCGGAACTTCATTAAATATCTCATTTATATTAAACAGATGATAGCTTCTAACAGAAATAATAATTTCTTCAAACGGAGGAACCGCTACAGTTGTGGTTTCATGTGATTGGAATGTGCAGCCTTCTCTCTCCCACTAGGCTGTGGGACCATGCCCTCTGCCTCCCCCGCCTCCCCCGCCAGCACCAGAGTGGCCTAGGATATTAGTCCCTGGGGTGAACCTCTGTGCCCCTGTGGTGAGGACTGTGGTTAAGTGTGCTTTGTTTCCCCTGGAAGCAGATTTGTTTCAAAGCCTTAATTTAAATTCCTTAATCATACTGTGTCTAGGAGAATAGGAATTATAGGACAGGGCTATTTTAAAGATGTCACCTACCATTTCAATGCATAATCACCGAAGTCAACCCGTATATTCTTTTGCTTGTTTAGTAGATTAGTCAATGTTGGTGGAGATACTCCTATCTTTGATTTCACAATGAGAACATGTGCTCCTTCCATGTGTACTATTGAAGTGCTTGTCTCAATTATCTCCCACTTAATGATTACAATAAGAAAATAGGACGATTATTCCTTATTTATAGCAGAAGAAACTTGGGTTCAGTGAATTGTTCAATATAACTGAGCTGGTAAGTGCAGTCGTTTGGTCTCATAGGAGAGGGGATAATTTTACCAAGCACACATGAAATTTGGAGCTAATTGTTAGGTGCATTTACATACTCTCTGTGTGTGAAAAGTATAGCTAATTCTAGCTTCCATTCTGATAGAGCACACTTTACACAGAATGAGAAGTCATGAAGTATGCTGAATTGAACTATGATTTAAGTTGACTTCAACAGATACTAATAGTCAAAGTAGGAAAAAAATAAGCAACACGATAAGATTATTAAAAAAACCCTTTTAATATACATATTTTTCCTCCTATGGTTGAAGTCTGACAGAACGTCATGGGAGGCCCACTGCAAAGTGGCACAGGGAGTTGGTCATTAGGCAGAGCTGTCATCACAAATTATTTTGGTACAGGGTGAAAAGCTCTAGTTCATTTGGTACCCAGTTGGATACAGGCCTTGGGCAAGTTGTTATAATTCCCCCATGCTGTTAAATGGACCTCCAGGACTGATTCTTGCTTGCACCCCCTTTCTCCATAGCTCAAGTCACCTGGGAGCCCCCCTGGACCTGAGCTACCCATCGAAACAGTGCTGGATGATAGAGAAAGGAGAATTTCCCATTCCCTCTACAGCGGGATTGAGGGGCTGGATGAATCTCCCACAAGAAATGCTGCCCTCAGCAGGATAATGGGTGAGTCAGGTAAACTCTTGTTTATCACTTATTTCATGCTCTTACTGGTTCGCTGAGAGGTTATTAAGCAATGTTAATGAAGAGAAGGTCCATGTTTTCAGGAGGCAAAAATAGCAGGTTTATTGCAATCCTTCAGGAAGGGTTCATGTGAAGAATATAAATCAGTACGTGGATTTGTGAAGTGACTTGTAGATCCTGAGATGTGGGGCGGGGAGGAGAGAAAAACGAGATCATGTAGCCGTATTTCCCAGTGATGAAGGCATTTTTAGGTTAGTTGAGATGAGAAGGAAGACTGTGTTTCCGGAAAAAAAAAAAAAAGAGAGAGAATGTCTTGGTGTGTGCCAAGAAGGATTCTAAAGTTACAGATCATCCACAATGGCTTTGCTTGGAAGGGGAGGACTGAATATGCATATACACTTCAGCCTATAGACATGGAAAATCTTGCTTCTATTTTGTTTGTCTTTAGTGGGATATGCCTGCACTTTTGTTCTATTCCTCCGCCCACTAAAACCTTAGTTTTTAAATCCTCAAACTAATATTGTGCCAACTGTGTTTGGATTCTGCATGGCCCCCAGTGGGTAATGAGGTTATTAGCACTTGCTCTGTAGTCATTCAGCTTTCTACTAACAGATCCAGCTAATAGAGACTTGCTTTGCCACAGGAGTGGTTGGATTTACTGAGTTGCCCATCTTGGGATTAACTGGTGAGAGTTTTCAAATTTATAACAGAAGAAGCTGTTTTGATTAAACAACAACAATATAGCACCTGACATAGAACCTTTCCATTGCTGGCATGTTTTGCAAGGCATTTACTTGAAGGAAAACCCTAAATTTAACTCCATTTTGAGGACCTTTAATGCAAACTTAATGCAATTCAAATTTCCATTAAGGAACATCATTGCAACGGGAATTTATTTGATCCATTAGTGCATGTTTTTGGAGAGCCTGTTACCGACAAGACATCGTATCTGTACTTTTGCTGTAGGTATAAAGATGAATTTGCAGCGGTCTCTGCCTTCAAAGAACTTTCTACTGGACATAATAGGTCAAATGGCTAAGCAATACTATTAGATATTTTTGTTTTGTTTTGTTTTTCTTCCTCTAATCCTTCCAGTTTGCTAGTTTGGAGAAGAAAAAAAAGACTAAATTCTCATTGTCTTATCTTGTCACACATAGAACCAGAGACCTGCCAGCTCTCTGTTTGTCCTTTGTCAACGTTTTTCCTCTCACCTGCTTGGCATCAGTGAAAGTATGGGAAGGGTGCTGAATGTATTGAACATATGTTAGGTGCCAGGCATGTGTATGTAGTTTATCACAATTAACCCTTGCTTATTAACAATTATTCTGTTCGCTGCTGTTGAGTTTTCCACCCTTTTCTTGGCCTTGGTGTTAAACTCCATCTTTGTGGAATACCTTTTGACTGACGAAAAGTCAGAGACCTGGAGAGAGAGAGAGAGAGAGAGAGAGAGAGAGAGAGAGAAAGCGAGTGTGTCCCCGGATCTGTGTACATACAAAGTGATACGCTGTAATTTCCCCCTTTATTATAGGAACATAGGACTTGCCATACTGAATCTGACCATTGGTCCACCAGTTCCTGTAACCTGCATCCTGCCTCCAAACCCTGGTGCTTCCGAGGAAGGCGGACACCTAGAACTAAAAACACAGACACATACCACCCCCTAGAATTCACCCAGAGACGATTTGGACCGTTGTAACGCTGGGTTTAGGATGACTTCATTTCTCCTAGATGGTTGCCCTGGGTCTTCTTGCAGGGGCTCCGCTGGTCCTCTTTGAGAGCCCTTGATCTGGTTGACACTGCTAGGGTGCAACTGACTCCTAAAACTCCAGCAGCGTCCCTGATGGCAGTGACCCCCTCCCAGCCTTACTCTCCGTGATGGACCGTGCATGGACTTTTACTGCTTTGGGCTGAGGGCACAGACTGATGACCACTTCCTACCAGACCACGTTGATGTGATGTGATTTGCGTATGTCCTTCGAATAATTGTTGATATGTGGTACTGGAAACTAGCACTCCTGTTACAGTGGAACTTGAGAAACGTGATGTAACTTGCTTAATTGCAAATTTGAGAATCCCTCGGTCGTTCTCTGCAGCCCAGTCTCGCGAGCCCTCAGAAACAAATGCTAGTGATGAAGCCAGTTCGCACTTCCAGTTAGAGAGCATTTAAAAGATGCTACCTTGTAACAGGAAATACTGATCCTGAGTACCAAACGCAAGCTATTCGAGGGCTCCATTGCCATTGGCTGAAATCCTAGTCTCTATTCTCGGCACAGCATTTTGGCAAGTGGCAATTTCACACATACAGGGCTTGTTTGGTGATTGGTTAGTTTCAGTATATTTTGCATTGCTCCTATGTAGACGTTGGTGGAGGTGGTGGAATTCACTTCATGACCTGCTTGTTTGGTGAATGGTTATCTTGTATACATTAGGACAGTGTTGATAGAGGGGGTAGTGTCTGCGTCAGGATCTTTACTACGCTTCAAATAGAACTGGGGCGTTCCAGCTGATTGAGTTAAAAATGGATACACTTCATGCACTCCCCCCCCCCCCCCCTAGGATTCCAGACCAAAAGCAGGTACTCGGAGACGTTCTGACCCACTTATGACGCAACACCTCCCCAAAGAGAGAATTTTTTTAAAAATAGGTCAAATAAAAGAGAGATATTAGAATGAAAAGGATGTCAAATTTCATCAGCCAAGTTTCCCCACCGCCTGCATGGAGAAACTCAGACCCAAGATCCTGTAATGGCTCTTCCATTTTATTTTAGGCTGTTTTCTACTTGTAAAACCACCTCTCTCTAAGGAATGCTTACGGGGTCGGTGACTAAGCACTGGCTTGGTAACAGAAAGGTCTGGCAGTGTGTGATCTCGCCAGCAGCCCTCTGGGAAAACGAGGATGAAGTCGAGGATGAGGTCGCCTGTGTCCACAGGGGCGATGGTGGTGGAAACGCTCGAGGGGCAGTTCGGCGCTGTCCTGTTGACTCGTGCCCAAGTTGACAGCAGAGAGTTTTGATTTTTCTGGTTTTCAGGAATGCTTATGTCATTCCATGGTAGTCGGCGACGTCCTGTGTTCTCATCGATTCTCAAGTCTCTACACTTTGAGTGGGAAGCATTAGACCGTCTCTGAAAGAGGTTCCCTTCCGGAAACAAGTGTCATGTGTAAACCCAAGAAGCTGATCCTTGCAGGCAACCTTAGAAATCTTGGGCTCCAACCTATTACCTGTTATTCAGGGGTATGGACAGAGAAGTGACGTGAATTGACTGAAGTGGAACAGAATCTGTGCTTAGGAACTAAAATGAAGTCGTACTTTTTCTGAGTCGTTAGTCCCTTGTTACTCAGATGTGATCAGTGCCTTCGCTTTTCATGGTGTCAGTCAGAGGGGGCACCAAAGACCTTCTCAGCCGTTTGTTATCTGTTTTAGCTGACGTTCCATTACTGCGTGGTTTACAAGAATACACTCACCAAAAACCCCAACTCATCCATAGTGAGCGTCTAGCCGATTTCTTCCTTTTAAAAGCCTTCAGCATGTATTTTCCAACTTTTTGGTCTGTCTGAGGTGATGGCGGTGACTGACAATGACAACAGCGTTCACCCTTAAGAGGCATAGCTTTTACACGACCAGCATGTTCACGTCGTAAAATGCATCACACGTTGACAAGCAGAAACAGGGGACCTTGACTCTTTTTCAACTTTTTTTGCCTGAAAAGTTTTTCGGTTTAAAACAAAAGCCAAATCTATTGTATCCATTTTTGAATTCACTCTTAGGGAGGACTGTCTTCCTGCATTCATGCTGGGTGGAAATTATACCTATAGTTATGTCCACTGTATTCCCGTGTTGTTAGACATTTTGTAGAGACAACTGGAACGTGCATTTTGGGCGTGCTGTGCGTGTGTGTACATGTGAGTTATAAGTCCCTGGGAAAAGTCCAGGTAGTTCATTTGTTTAGCATGTCATGTGGGGCCCTCGCTGCATTCTGTGTGCCTTTACTGATGAAATAAATGTGTAGTAACCAACCCTTCTGTATCTCAGTGTTTCACTTTTTCTCTAAAGTACGGGCGGGTGTGTGTCTCGGTTGGTTAGTGAATATCCAAAACAACAAACCAGCACCCCCAAACAAAGGAAAAGCAGGTGGAAGACTTCTCAAGCCTCTCTTCAGAGGTCGTTTGTTCATGATGTCCCAGGGCAAACAAAAGAGCTGGGGTTCACGGTAGCTAGGTGCAGGTGACTGGACTGCGCACTGGAGTCCTGGAGTCGTCACGATCCCACTTCATTCCCGGAACCAGCTTGCACAGTTACCCTTCTGCCCACGCACATGGAAAAAACTAGAAAATTTATAGAAATATAATGACTCCTGGCTCTTAGGAACTACTCAGCTCCAGATTCACGCACTGAAGAAAATGTTGCAAAATTGTTATTTTGCTTTTCGGTGTCTTGTCGATTATGTCTGTTTAACGTTTTGGTTCGCCTAGAGACAGTCAGATTATAAAAAAGGACTCATACAAAGAGCTATTGTGCTCCTTGTTGCCCAAGAGGTTGTCACTCAGAACATATTGCGCAAACCTGAGCTACCACGTAGGCTCTATATTTTGAAAATGAGTGCATTCCTAATTTCGCATTGATGTTTTCTTTAATAAATTATGCCTGGGTAGGACTGTGGCATTTAATCCTGAGACACACTGTCAATAGTGAGCTGTCATCAGGGATACTGATGGCTTTGAAATAGCTCTTTGGGGTGTTCAGGAAGAAGGCGAAGAGACTTTGAAACTTTCAGTAAAAAACTCAATTATCATTTAATTCCGTGAACTTTCTGGAAATTTCCCTAACATGTCTTGAGAAACTTTGTGTTTTTCTTTCTTTCTTTCTTTTGGCTTATACTGTTAGGATGTCCTACCTGACTTAAAAACGGTTTTGTTCAGCAGGTTTCTAGACTAACATCCGGAAACTAGAGGGAGAATAACGGGTGGCTTGAATTTAGGAAAGGGACATGATATCTTCAGGGCAGTTGATATTTAAATAATGAGTTCTCATCAGTAGTTGCTAGTTTTCACATTTTGTCAAAATGGGAGTTTTAGAAAGAAAAGTTTTCCATGATCAAATACTGAGTGTAGGTTTTAACGGCCATGGACTGCTTCTCTAATCACAAAGTACTTGGTGCTACGTAATTAAGGCATTTGAAATGTCTAGCTCTAGCAAATTTTTACTTTGGTGGGTAGGTCTGAAAAAAACATGCAATAGCTTGAATGGGGTTTTTGTGTGTATGCTTGTTTCTCTGATGACTCTGGGAAAATAGATACTTTGAAAAAAATCCTCAAAGCCTATGGATGCATCTCCCGATTTCAGGTTTAATTCCTCCAGGTTTCCAAATTCCCTAAAATAAAAATGATCGTTGATCCATTCATACAAATGTTAATTTTTAAAAAAAGACATAACACTCCTGCTCAAATGTTAACTTCTTATACATCTCTGTGGTGCTTTCAAATATCTATCTATCTATCTATCTATCGATCGATCGATAGATAGATAGATAGATGGTGCTATGTCCTCTGTGAAATGGTGGTGGCAGCTTAAAGGCAAATGCAAGACCATTACAGGGTCATTTGGGTCGGAACGCTGTTTACCTGACTTCATAGATTTGGAAACTGGTCCTGACCTGGAAGTTTTCCCCGCATCCCTTAAGATGGGTTGAGAAATCACACACCTCTCCCCCCTCCCCTGGGAGAAAAGGGCTCACAGCCTAGTCAGGAATGATTTCTGTGTGATCGGCTTCTCGCTGATGACCTCTGTAGACAAGAGCCGGTCAGAGTGCTCTTGCTCAGAGAAGGTGGAAGAAGACTGGAGGAGGGAGCCAACGGAGCACCTGCGATTCATCTTGATGAAGAAGACAGCCTCCTTTCTTTCCCAGCGTTATCTGTTAGGTTTTAGGCAGAGCCTGGAAACCCGTTTTACCCCTGGAAGGTTCTGAGTTAACAAAGCCTCTCATGTGGAGCCATGATCCTGAGCAGATCTTCCTGCATGGAACTGCACCATACTATTGGTTGCCAGTCCTCCCTTACTCCGAACAATTCATCTTCATTGACTACATTCGCCTCTCATCCACAAGCTGCTCTCTCACGACCCAACACCGTATTTGCAACCATAGTCTCATGGCTTCTCGTCAAGATCCCTGCTGCCACTCTCCCGGCTGGCCTTCGGGGTGTCAAACTCATCTTCCGAGTGTCTTCAGAGAGCACCCCGGGCTTTCCCATCCAGTGTTTGGTGGCAATATGGCCCCTGTCTAAAATAAATGTCATCATATCTTCTAGCAGAAAAGAACAACAAACCAACCCGTTCACTGTTCACAATGCAACTCAAATGTCAACTTTGCTAAGCACACTGCTACCTCTGGCTGCCCACCAGAGTGAGCGCCCCGGTTCCTTTGCTCTGTTTGGGTCTTTCTCCTTCAGTAGGCTGTGAGCTCTGAAGGGCAGGCAAAGGCCTTCCTTAGAGGCTCTGGTGGGTGCTATGCGCCACCAGAAGGATGCATGTGAGTTTTATAGCTCTTCCCTCTCCGTTAACGGTTAGAATTCTGCAAACTAGTTTCACCGTTTAGACTCACGGTAGCATTGTCACATTAGAAGGCGGCTTGGCGATCCTCTCTGGTGTTAAGAAATGGCAGTTCCCAAATCCACATCAACCAGACCTGTTGTCGTCGAGTTGATTCTGATGCGCAGGGTCCCTGCAGGACAGAGTAGAGCCATCCCCTAGGGTGTGTACCCTAGGCCTCCATCTCTCTTGAAACAGACCCTTCTGTCTCCACAGGTGGGTATCATGGGTGTGTTTCAGCTGCGGACTAACCACCGGCCCACTTGGGCTCCCTTTTCCTTTAAGTTAAGAACCTTCACACCAGAGACATTACACAGGGTGCCCAAAGCTCAGTAGCTATAGTGTCAGAGAGAAGGTCGTGGCCCTGAAAGCTCCATTTGGAGATACGTGTATTAAATGCTCTTCTGTTCTTCAGGTTGAGCAGAGGTATGGGGAGTTCAGACGCTAATGTAGCTGGGACTTAATGCATGCCGCACCTATACTGATATCTACCATTTCTGCCTCTCTTGACCGGACAGGTAAATACCAACTGTCCCCCACGGTGAATATGCCTCAGGATGACACTGTCATCATAGAAGATGACAGGCTGCCCGTGCTGCCCCCACATCTCTCTGACCAGTCGTCTTCTGGCTCCCACGATGACATGGGATTCGTCGTGACCGACGCTGGTGCCTGGGCTAAGGCCGCGATCGGCGATTCCGCAGATTGGTAAGACCTCCGACCAGGGTTTGAAAACATTACTTAATTGCAATCACATTTAATTTTCTGTTCCAGGGGTTTAGCTCAGAGTGCCATTCATCAATTCCTATGTGGCTTTTAGAATATTATTATGATTATGAAGAAAAGTGTTCTGTCTTCATGGCTTTTATGGTCTTAATGGTGACACCTTTTAATGAAAAATTCCCACCCCTCTTAAACGTGCAATTGATTTCATCTTCCGAGTGTGGTAGTGAATCATCTCGTCCAAACCATCACAATGATACCACCAAACGGTCCTACCCATTTTTCGGTACGTTTGGCTCAGGGCTCGTCATGCCTTTGGATCTGTGTGTGCTTGGCGAATTGTTTCTTTATTACATGAATGCATTCGGAGTAAATCCCTGAGTCGCCTGATGGGCTGAAAACATTAAAAGAGGCAAAAGCAAAGCTTGCGAGGGGTTGATAAAGTGAGGAGGCCTTTAGAGGGTTTTCTGTTTTAGGAGTGGTCTGTCTGTTACTGTTTGCAAAGCTTTTCCTCTGCTTCTAACAGAGTGACTTTGGGGGGCCGGTGGGGGGCGGGGGGGCAGTCTCATGCTCTCTTTCCCACCCTGATAGAAGAAAGCAATGGATATTATAGTCCCAACGTATGGCACATGAATGGAGGTTTTTGCCTTAATTTGCATTCCTTGTAATTATATATATCAATAAGCAAAAGGAAAGGTCCCACTTAGGGATGCCCCAGTCAGGTTGTACTGATAATTAACACAAGCATGTGAAGCATTACACCAGAATTTCCTTCTTGCCCCTGCTCTGGGGTCTTTTATGAATACATCAGCAAAATGACGCTGAAATGTTATGGCCTTGTTCGTTTACTCCCTATCCGTTTCGGCTTCCTCCTCTCCCCGAGACCTGTGTCAACATTAAGTCTCAGCTAGGCTGTGTCTAGGGGGCTGGTATTTATTTGTGTTAACATTTCAGTGATGAACTGAACAACTCAAGCCACTCCTCCCGCCTCACTACGCCGTCCCCCACACTGACGCCGAACAAAAATAGTTTTGTTTACCTGTTCATTCTGCAGGAACAGTCCGTTTCTAGGTTTTCTTTCTTTCTTCTTCTCTTAATTCTCTTGTTGAAAACATAGGATTTAAAAATAGAGCTGCACTCAAGCCCACATGATAATAGCCTATCATTGAATGCACCTTTTTTTTTTTTTTTGGTTAAACGAGGAGAGAACTACAATATGAAGTTAAAACCCATTTGAAATCTGCAGATGCTATTACATTTATGCTGCAGTTACATCTTTTTCTGAAAGTGAAAGCAACAACAGGGAAAGTAAGGATTAGATATTTTCAGTATTCATTTTAGGGACAAAAGCCTTTGAGTCTCCAGCATGATGAGAAATTGTGGAGGTGGTCGTAGGAACGGATCATTTTGGGGCCTCACAAAGCACCCCATTGGTGGATATAAATAAATAACGAGCGGGGATAGACTGTTGCATTAATTTCCCTAAGGGGGTTGGTAAAACGGAGGGAACGTGTATGATTTTGCTGTGGGGACTGTGGAGTGAAGCAAAGAATATGAATGAAGGGTTATCCAAACACAAATGGCAGCTGTTCGGAATCACAGCAGAAAATGTAAGCTTCTCCAGCCTGACAGTATCTCCCTAATCCTTGATGAAAATGTTATGAAAACAAAAGGGCAATAAGATAGGATTAATAACTGGCATTTTAATAAGATTGGGGGTCCGATGATGGTTACTTTCCTTAAAGAGTCAGCCATCAGCCCTGCAGTCTAACTTGTTAAATATCCTTGTGTACTGTGGATTGTGCTGGGACTTAATTTAATGTGTACATTGATAGGGAAGAATTAATTATGTCATGGTTTATGAGTATCTGACTATTTTAAGAATCTTAGTAACTTGCAAACTCATTTGACATTTTAAACGGCGTACATTGACAGTTCACCACATATCCGTGGAAGGCAAACCATGTCACATGACTAAACGTTTCATTTGTTAACTCAGAGATTAACTCAAAATTTTTTCCATTCCATTAATTTATTGAGGAAACATTAACAGTCATGTTTTTAAGGGGGCAAGAGGGTACAAACGAGCTAAAACTAGCCTTAGTAGCAGCATAAATCCCAAAAATATTCATTTTGAATACATCAATGTGTAGTTTTCAGATAATATTCACGCACTCACTGCGATCAGGTCAATTCCAGCGCACAGGGATCGTGTAGGACAGAGTAGACCTGCCTCGGTGGCTATCCAAGACTGTACATAATTATAACAATAGACCGCCTCATCTGTCTGCTATGGAGCAGCTGGTGGTTTTGAACTGTTGACCTGGTATTTCACTGTGGTTTTGAATTGCATCTATCCAGTCAGCCTAAAAGGTATTGACCCATTATGCCACCAGGCTCCTTTTCTGACAGCACTAGAATTATCATTTGTGGAAAATCTGTTGTAAATCATTTTCTATTAAAAATGTAGTTACACTCTCCAGTTTACAATTCGGATGCCTTTAGTGGAGTTCACAGTTTCAAGTATCCTGCATGACATAAAAATGTATTCATACATGTGCAGGATGTTGACAAGATCAATCAATGGTTCCAGACATTTACACACACTCTGTAGACGGAAGAATTACTGATATTGTAAGTCTGTTATTTAGACTTTGCTGCTACCGAATTGGATAATAGTTCTCATCTGTCAGCTTTCCCACTGAGCGGCTGGTGGTTTCAAACTGTTGATCTGGTTAGCAGCCCAGCATTTAACCACACCACCACCAAGGTTCCTAACAAACATTGCTAACATTAAGGCATATCAACTTTATCTGTCTATTCATCCTTGTCATGGACTGAACTCCCCACGCCTATCGAATACATCTCCTTTACTCTGTGCCTGAGTCAGGACTAGGATGAGGCAAGCAAAATGCCTAGAGGTTCAAAGGTAAAGCGGCTCTTGTTCTCAGGTGCCGACCCGTATTTGTACAACCGTGAGAGTGAATGTGTCCAGAACTAATGAGCTGTGGGGACCCTTCCTGTCTCTGTCTATGGCCTGACTTTGTACTTGCTGGGAAAGTTTGAGAACCACTGCATTTCCTTGAGGTGACGTGTAGGATGCTAGGTTTCCAGTGGAATCGTCGGTTGGTACAAATGATTATGCTCGCTGAGTGCTAGGCCGTTCGAAACCACTCAGAGGTGTTTGGGAAAGAAGGTGTGTCAGATTACCTTTGACAAGTCGGTCATGGGACACTCTATGGAAACTCTTCTACTCGGACACACTAGTGGCTGTAAGAGGTGACTGATTAGATTGCCATAGTGTCTATCAGTTTGATGACAGGAGATAGTCTTTTTTGTATAGTAACTTAATTTGTATAGTGTTTGCAACTTAACAGTGGTTTTCACCATGTGCCAAGATCCGTTCTTGTCCTTGTAGGGTGCAGGTGGCTGCTCTTGTCTTACCTGAGTCTTTGAACAAATCAACCATAAAAACCAAACTCCCTGCCATTGAGTTGATGCCACCTCATAGTGCCCCTCTGGAATCGGGTAGCCCTGCCCCTGTGAGTGTCTGAGTTGGTAACTCTTTATGGGAGCAGAAAGCCTGTCTTTCTCCTAGGAAGTTGCTCTGACCTTGGGAATTGCAGCTTATAGCGTAACCACTACTGCACGAGGGCTCCTTTTTTCTTAAGAAATCAGGACTTAAGAAATGATGTCAGCTTTTTGGCAGAACATTTTTCTTGGCATTCTAACTTCAACAACCTTAGGATTAACACCTTTTAACGAGCTTACCTTCATCCCATGCACAGTAAAATGCAGCTACATTTCTGATGCTTAGGTTTTGATTTTTTTTAACCAACCCAGATCACTTCTTTATTTTATTTTTTTGCCAGTCTGATGGTAATTTTAATGAGACCATAAAAGGTAAGAGGAACACGTTCCATCGGACACGTACAGGAGGCTGTCACAAACTACTGACATAGTGGAATTGCACCTTCTCGTTCTCACTGTGTGTTGCCCCCTCCCACTTAGCAGGTAGCTATGGTTACCTTGGCAACAGAAAGCTAGTGTATTGATTTACTCCATGTGCCTAGCAGAGAGAGGACATCTCCATCTTATGTGGATGTTCTGAGCACCTGCTCAGAACACCTGCTAGTACGGTTTGCAATATCGACAGGTGTTTACAAATAGGACTGAACAGTGTGAGAGTGACTCATTGTCATCTCCGACCATTGTTATTAGAGAAACAACTCAAAGTTCCCCTCGTGCTAGGTATTTACCATATGCTTTCCCAGCACCTCTGTGTTCATGTCACCTGATCAAACGCCATCTCTCCTTAGTCATGCTTTCCCAGGCTCCCGAGAGGCCCGCTTGTTTTCCGTGCATCTACAGTTGCTGTTTCATGTTTCTGGGTTAGTGTTTTCTCTTGTAGAAAATCAGGCTCTTTTTCTATTGAGCATTTTGACCTTGATATCCAACACAAATTCCTTAATCCGAGTAAGTTCTCATAAAGGCTTGCTGCATTGAATTTTTCTTCCTGCTTACACATCACAGATCGTCTGTAGTAATATGAAACCTTATACCTTGTACGTATGATCATCTTCTTTCCTTCTTCTGAGTCTTATCTTAGGGTGTGTGTACGTGCGCTTGCATGAGCGCACGTGTGTGAAGACATCCTTTAATTTTTTATTTAATTGAGATTCACCTACTTGTTTCTTCCTTATATTTGTGGATAACAGTGTTCCTCAGATGTTCATTACTTCCAGTGCCTACCGAAGATCAGGCCCATTTTTGATGATCACGTAGAAGTACAGATGCTGTGTCACACAGAAGAATTTGGGAGAAGGCAGCTATGGAGGGGAGAGGGCAGAGTGAACAAGAATAAATAACAATATTTTCATTTGGTCTTCTTCTGCCCCTCCTATGCAGCACCAGTTGATTTTGTTTGTTTGTTTTTTACTGGGCTCTTTGTGTTACCGAGTTTAACTCTTTGTAAGAAATACATTTATATGGGCAATGATGGATGTTTATGCTTTGTCAAGTTGTGTGGCTTCTATTTTTAATATTTTTTACGTTTATCTTTCTCTTTGCCCTAGCTCTTTGAGCCCAGATGTTGACCCAGGCCTTGCTTTTCAACGAGAAGGATTTGGACGCCAGAGTATGTCAGAAAAACGCACAAAGCAATTTTCAGATGCCAGTCAATTGGATTTCGTTAAAACGCGAAAATCAAAAAGCATGGATTTAGGTAGTGAGTACAATCTCCATGAATCTTTATCCAAATATGGTTTAGATGCTTTCAAGATAAAATTGATGGTCTCAAACACATGTCTGTTTACTTTGAGAAGTAGAGGGAATAAATATGAAATGTGGCAATTTGGCAAAAATTAGTTTTTCGCTGAGTTTGAGATAACCATATTACTCATAAGTGACATGTTTATCTACGATGCAGTATGTTGATCCACATCTATATGTTTTCTGATGAGAAAAAGAAACAGAGCCATGTGCAAATCATGCTGTACTCATGTATCGTTATACAAACCGCAATACGTTTTAACATGTCAGCTGTTTACAATCAATATCCTTGAATTAGCATTTGCTTGGTTATGCGATTTATTTTTAACCAGAGGGAAATGCTTTGGAGAGAAACCATTATCTCAATCCATGTCTGGAATTTGGTTACTTCACGACACCTTCCTTTCATTGCTGTTCTCTAAGATTTATTTCTTAGCAGCTCTTAGATGTTGATAATTAAGGCATTTAATTGAAGTAATAATTTGAGAGAATATTTATGGTAGAAAGTAATTTGGAAGCAAATGAGAGAAAAATCACCCTAGTTGTTCAATCAAGCACCAATCAGGTAGTGTGTCTCTTTAAATCCAAATCCGTCAAAGCGGGGAGGGTGGGAGTAAAGCAATTAATTACATCTATACTTTCAAAAACCTTTGTTAATCAACTGTAACTTATTTATGCTGTTCTCTGGTGGCTGTACTTCAAAACTAAAAGCATTAATTTATCACGTTCATAAAAGAAAAAATTAGTGATGAATTGCCTTGGCTAATTATGATATGCTAACATTTAAATAACACACATGCCTATGAGAGGAAATGACTGGCATATTGCATGGAGACACTGCTTTTTTCCCCCTTTGATGATGAATATTGGCTGGATGGTTCATATTATTTGCATGAAGATTTACCTAAGTGCTGTCGCCTAACTGTGACAAACAAAAACCTGGGAGTGGTGGAAGCATGTTGGAGCGTGGGCACTAACGGGGCTAACCATTCTACATTTACCTTTTAACAGTAGCTGACGAGACTAAACTCAATACTGTGGATGACCAGAAAGCAGGTAAGAATGGACAGTTAGACTGTTGCCATAGAAACCATGGTCCAAGGAGCTTATCACAATTATAGGGCTGCCAATCAAACTGCATGTAAACATAAATATTCCAGTCTTGCACGGTTGTTTTCATTGTGGGAAATCAAATTGTATATAAAAGGAAAGTGCACTGTTAGGAGAAATTTATCATTGTCGTACATACAAAATGGTAATATAATTTGGAGTACCCAAATTGCTAAAACAACCTGGATTTGCTTACTTAATTATAGTCATGTAGGAATGTTTGGTAGCTTTTTTTTCTTTTTAAGGATCACAAATTCTGAAATCATGCTCTCCTCTGGACAGGATGTTAAGTCTTCAAATCATCTCTTGGATTTCTAGGTTGACATTCAAAACATTCTTTCCAAAGTAGTAATTTTGATTTGAAAAATAGTAGTGGAAACAGAAATACTTCTCACCAAAGGAAAATGACCAGCATTTTTATCATTAACTTGGAAAACCTTAATTGTTCTCTGTACCCAAGTATTAGCTCCCAGTTATTGGAAATTGGATTTGACTATCTGATGCATATTGTACCATGTCTTAACTTTGTGAATGTTTTTTAAAAATTCGTTAGCTTGCTTGTTTTACAGTTTAGGACTTCTAATGTGCTGCCTGGATCATTCCATAGAAACAGTGGATTATGTTAAACTAGGTTTTGTATCATCATAGAATTTTTTTTATGTTATTGTATGAAAATAATCAAAGCAAATTTTTATGTGTAATTAATGTGCTTTGCACCATGGAGCATTTATGATTTATTATTACTAGTTTGGAATAGTATTTTAATTATTCAGTATCCAGTATGATGTAGTTATGGCACTTAGCACTAATTAGCCTCAGTTCACCTTTTTAACCTGCAGTAGTAATTAGTTTTAGCTTGCTTGAAAAATGTGCTGTCTACCTATATATGTAAAGATTATTGTAGACATAGTCCTAGTTATCATATTCTGTAAATGATAGATTGTAGAAATTACATGCAATATATCATAAGATAACTGTAGTGCGAGGCAATTAACTGTAGGCTCAGCCCTCAATAAGTCTCTGTTTCTCCTCTCAAACACAAAATTCATGGAAACTCTGAAGCAAGCTCCAGAAGAAGAGAGTTTTTTCTAGGTAGCTCACCTATGTAAAAGAGTAATTTGTTTTTGGAGCATTTTGTAAGCAGTCCTTATGAGTCAGAATGGAAGCGTTGGCAGTAGTTCTTGGGCATAAAAACCCCATTGAACTGCTCAGGTCAAAGAACATCACTTTATTCTCTGCTACCTGAGTAAGCAAAGGGGCATATCTAATTTAACTAAATGGAAAATAGCAGTTTATTGTGATTAAAAAATAATTCTATTAAGATTTTAATTGAAAACTGTGAACTCATAGTGAGAAGCTGATTTTTTATCATATAATTTTATCATATAATGTCCCCACCAATGTGCAGTTGTTCATCTTTGTGATTCAGTTGCAAAACTTGGGATATGGAATCCAACATATGTTTTTGTCTATTGGTTTTTACATTTCTATGAATAAGCATTTAAAGTAGCTCTCTCCTCAACCTTCTGTGACCGACCAGACCTTCAGTCACTTGAATCACTTGAATTGACAAGCTAATGGTGATTTTACAGTTTAGTCCAGGGTCTTTTAGGTGAGTCGCCATGGTATTTTAGCATACGTCTCTCCATAAGCCTTTCATAGTGAAAATTGAATTCCATCTTCCTTTGCCCCTTGCAAAAGGCTTCTCTTCTTGCCTTATTCTCCTTCCACCACGCCCCCCTCGCCCCCCAACAGACACACAGACGCAGTACTTGGGAGGTATAGAAAAGCAGACCTAGGGAAAATAAATAGCATGATTATGATTTTCTCCTTTATTCCTGGACTTCAAGAATAATTTACTTTTTGAAAAGAGCAAGAAGGAATAAGAATGAGAAGGAAATTGAGCTGTGTGTTGGGGCGGGGGCCTGCTAATGATCTAAAATATTTCTGTGAGAAATGAGAATATTGTTTTATGCTTTTCAAAAAGGATATTTTTCAGACATAAAACTTAAATCATCTTTGTCCACACATTCACGAGAAAGACATAGTAAATGGTAAGTGTCTAATGTTGGAGACCTCAGTCGCCATAATTGAACCCTAACCCTGCTGCTGTCATGCAGATTTTGATTCATGGAGATGTAGCACCGAGTGAACCTGCCCCCCCTCAGGCTTTCCAAAGCTGAACCTTTATGGGAACAGACCGCCGCATTTTCCATGCAGTGGCCAGAGGGTTCAAATCCACCTTATGGTTAGAAGCCAAATACTTAACCACTGTTCCATCAGAGGCCCTAGACCACCATTGGGAGATATTAATATATCACTTAACAGAACTGTTGCTAAAGCTTCCTTTGAAAATTATATAGTGTTTGAGATTCACATTATAAATCAAAGGTCAACAAACTTCCAAAAAAGCGAGATAGGAAATATTTTAGACATTGTATTCCATAGGGAGGAGCCTTGGTGGCCCCGCGGGTTACCAGTTGGGCTCCTGAGTCCCAGATCAGCAGTTCGAACCCACCAGCTGCTCTGCAGGAGAACGAGGAGGCTTTCTACTCAACAGATTTACAGCCTCAGAAACCCGCAGGAGCCGCTCGCATTTGTCCTACAGGGTCACTGTGAGTCAGAATGGAGTCGATGGCTGTGAGTTTTGGTTTTGTCCTTAGGGTCTCTAAGACAATGTGAACACAAACGCACATAGCTGAGTTCCCAAAGTTACCAATACAGATGGTCCGTATAATTTTTATTGTGAACATTTTCAACCATACGTAAGCACAGGGAGAATAGTTCCTTACACCCTATGCCCACCATCCTTGAGTAGCAGAATTTCGCAGACATGCCATGCTGCACTATTGCAAATATTAGACAGGGGAAAGATGAGGTACCTGGATAAGCTGTGGACACGCTAGTGTTGGGTGCCTGGCAGTCATTTCCTCCTCAGAGCGACTCTCCGCCCAACAGAAGGACGTGCAGCTGGTCCAGCACCGTTCTCAGTCTTGGCTGCTTGTCCCAGTAGGACCGCCACCACGTCAGTCCGTCTCTCTGAGGACTTTGCTCTTTTATTGAGCCTCTACTTCGTGTGAGCACGGTGTCCTCCTCCAACTGCCCTTGCCCTCCCATACCAGCACAGTGCACTGGGGACAAGTGTTGCCATCCTCCCTGTTAAGGAACAAACTGCCCGAATGGACACATGTGTTCATTGTCCTTGCAGTCCAGGATATGTTCCGTATTGTCTGCCGGTACTATCAACCAAAAATATGAATTCTTCCCAGTGGTCGTCGTCCTCCTGTCACACACGTGAGCTGATGGGGTCAGGCCCTGACTTACGCTGAACTCTTCCTTAGTGATACTTTCCTTGCTGGCCTCTTCCGGCCGAAGGACACTCAGTTTTAATAAGTCCTCATGAAGTACCTGAATTATGCTAATGAATTTTCTCATGAGTTGAGTAAATCAGTCAAATTTCAGGGAGTGTTTCCTCAAGAAAAGCTACACAAATGTAAATTATGTTTTCATGCTAATCCTTATTGGATGCATAAAATGGAATGTGGCTGTAGCTATGTATATCTCTTTCATAAAATAAACATAGCAATATCTATATATAAAGATATAGACATGTATCTATGCACATAAAACATAAGTATTTGTATGTATAGATATAGATACCCTTCATGGGTTCATACCAGCATATACTATTTGCCCAGTACCTGCTGATAGAACTTACTTGCAGCTCTGACGTAGTAACATACATAGCCAGAATTGACTCCAACAGTGGTCTTCTCGATGCTATGTCTAAGGCATTTAAATGTTTCTGTTCAGGACTGATCTCTTCCCATCATTTAGATTCCTTGACTTCTTTAGAGTGAAATTTACTTTCTTCCTGTGTCGGAACTTTTATGACCACTTAGAAAACTAACTTGTCAAAAATCACAGCGAGAGCAAGAGAAAAGTAAGATGCATTTTCCTTGAAAGAATTCTTTCTTTTTTTTCAAACATTTTATTAGGGGCTCATACAACTGTTATCGCAATCCATACACACATCAATTGTGTAAAGCGCATTTGTACATCATTCTCAAAACCTTTTCTCTCCACTTAAACCCCTGACATTAGGTTCTCATTTTTTGCCTCCCTCCCCGCTCCCCGCGAAAGAATTATTTCATGTGAAATTTTGTCCTAAAATGAATAATCTGATCCGTATATAAACCTGCAATGAGAATGGTTCTTTTCTTCAACCCCCAGTATTTTATGGGCTATTGTTTCTTATCTGAATTGTATTTGGGGCTATATTATATTCTTATTGTATTTATTCCCACTAAAAATTGCTACCCCATTGTTGACAAGGAGAGCATATAAGAAAAAAGATCATTTTTATCTTGACTTTTCGATTTAATTTCCAACTTGTCATGTACTCTGAGGCATGAAAAACCCTTATTATGACTATTTGTTTTCTAAGTAATGACATGAAAGGCTAATCCTTAATTGTTGGTCAGCATATGGGCTGATGATCTCATGTAGAGATAAACGATTCAATTTCTCGCACACTCTCATTTTTTTCCCACATGTTTTTTGTGAAGTGAAGAACCAGTTGTATGGTCAGGTTGTCCAGGTGGTGGTGCAAAGCTAGTAGTTAGTCTACCTCTGAGTGCCTGGTCTTTGGCACTGGATGAGACAGAATTCAATTGTGATTATTTTCTCTTGATGGTAACAGCACCCACATTTTAATCCCCGGAATCATCTCCGGTCATACTATGCAGATTTTCCTGGTAATTGCTAAATGTTCTTCCTTCTGTCCACTGGCTTTTCGGACATCTATTATTACTAGGCCTACAAATATAACATATATACTCGAGTATAAGCCAGCCCAAATATCAGCGGAGGCACCTAATTTTACCACAAAACTGCATTAAAGATGATGGAAAAACTTGGCTTATACATGAGTATATACGGTAAGCCCTCTCACCCAACTCTTTAGTTTTCCCCACTTCATCTCTCTTGGAGAAAGCCTTTTTGTTTTTGTTTTTCCTCAAGTCTCGTATTGCTTTTTCCATAAGTTAGCAATAGTTTATAGCTTTCCACCTTGTACCAGGTGGCCCTAATTATATTAGTGCCATGTTGTCTCTTGACTTGTTGCGGGTTCTGAATTTCACTGTAACGGGGAAGAGAGTTGATGAAGCTCTTTGGTTATGAATAGTTAACGTTCGTTGTTGATATTTTTTAACAGCCCCCAAAATGACTTAAATGAAGTGAAAAAGCTCACACTTGATTCCTTTCCTCAGCTCTCTTGTCATCTCTGCTTTCAAATGAGCTTCTGTTTATTCTGTTTTTATTATTTACCTTACTCGGAACAAATGATTTCTAAAAAAATTCATCTGTTGAGCTGAAAATGGGGTCTAATGACTAATTTTTACTTACTAAGTCCCATGTAAAGGGGCATTTTTAAAACATAAATGTAACAGTTTTGATTAGCTCATAGGTCAATAAGTTAAGAGAACTTTTCAGAGTGGATTTAAAATAAAAATTTTCCTAATCGAAAATAGAGACCTAGATCAAGTCTAATATAACGTGGGGTGGGG